AAGAATGGAATCCGCAATTGTGAGTTGATAACTGATGTCGAAGGCAGCTACAGCAGTCACAGGCGCTTTCGAACTGCCGCGGAGGCAAGACATACACCATTGACAATGAAGACATCTGGGGTCTCGGTGCTTCCGGAGTTCAAGGGGTAGGAAATTCTACCGATGGGCGGCCTTTTCTGCAAAATCTTGGAATATACCGAGCACAGGTGTATGGAGATGCTCTCGCGCAACATCGACTCAAATTGATCTCCAAATCAACCTTTGGATATTTCCCAGCTTAACACTTTCAGTGTAGCGAAGACATAGAAATTGTCTTGCGCTCAACTAGAGACCTCGGATCTCTCAACCTTGGAAGATAGGTTTGACATGAATGTTAACAAAAATCGTGTGGTACATGTATATATTGAAGGAAAAAATGGCTGCTGCAGATACTCTTGTACTTTATCTTATAGCTCTAGAATATGAGGCTGATCGCCTACTCGATTTCGCCGGTTCCTCGTTGGTATTGACAGGCTTGCCCGTGGATCTAGCGCGGGTATGAAGCAATACCTACATAGGTATCAAGGTAATTAGGGCGGACCAGTGGAAATAACACCTTCATCTGATATGACTTCAGAATGTGCTCGAGTAAAAGCTCTAAAGCCACTGGTAAAATGCGTTCAGTCAAGGTTCAAAAAAGTCCAGTTCGCAAACATATGTGTAGCATATGTTCCACCTGGGCACTAACCAGCTGCCGGTGAGCATTTTATGATGCCTAGTTATTAACCTTCAAGGCTTCAAGATTGGGAGTAGATCGAAATGAATATGAAATCTGCATCCATAAAATTTCTTGAATGCATGTTTGTCCAAAGTTGGAAAATTGAGATTTGACAATGGCCTGAAAAAGAAGTACCATTCGAGCGCATCGAAGCCAACCAAACCTGAATCTGCATTACACATCACCCGATACGAAGTACAAGCAGCTCAAACATCAATAGAAAGGATATTGCCTAAACATAAGACAACACATCCCGTGCCATCCATCAATCTGACATGTCCGGTAAGACAAGAAGCCCGAAGAAGCGGTGAGTACATCCAGGGTCAAACCGCATCAGAAACAGCGATCAAGGACAAGGACAAGGACAAGGATCTGAGAACAAGAGTTCAAGACAAGATCTCACAACTTAATCCAACACCCAATCACAACCACCCTCCAGATCTTCCCATCAAACCCCGGATTCCAGGCCGAAGATATATGACGTACTCAGCCCCTGGCCGAGCACATGAACGTATGCAAGGCGCCTCCAGCCACTCACGGTACTTTGAAGAGTCGGTGTTTCCAGACCCACGCAGCGGATCGACGACGCAAGACCTGATCGTACAGCATATGTACGCTGGTAGCACTGCAGACCGCAACATTGGACGAATACTGCGCCTGCTTCGCGATACAAGCCTTGACTTGCGCCGCTTGGCTAATGCTTAGCTGTGTAATGGAGATCGCCTGCAGGGATTCCCTTGTTACGAGGCACATGTGAGCTACGTCGGGATCCCTAGCCGTGTACAGTAAGTACGGTACTGAGTACGGAGATGTGTACGAGTGAACACAGCATGAATACCAGCAGTGGAGCTTAGGGCAGCTGGCTATTTTAGGCTTTGAGACATTGTGTGAATCTTGGATGTGGATTCGGGCTTCATCTTATTTCAGTGAGATAGAGCGAGGGCTTGTATCTCAGTATGATCATTGCTTTTTTGCATAGGCCGGGTTGGCAGGTACTGTAAAGTACGTATAGATGAGTCAATTGTGGCCTCGTTGATCTTTGAATATGCATAACATAATTGTGCTACCTGACGGCCCCGGGGGAGCTGAAAGCCCCTGGACGAAGAGGTAACTCGGCTTCTCACCGCTACACTTGCGTTGGCGCAAAACTCATCCACAGTCGCCATTAGCCATTGGACCGCACCTTTACTAGCGTGGTGGATCCGAGCTATAAATACGTCGCCATTATGGAGTTCACTTAATTCTCGTATGTACGGAGTAGCACAAGATAAGATATTGTTGACCTAGCATAGTACAGTACTAGTACTCCATATAGTACAGTATAGTGGAAGCGTATCCAAGGTTTATTCTGTATTCTGGATGATGGATGTTGTGGGTGTCGCCCGAGTCCATTTGTACATGGAGGCAAGAATGCAGCAAAGATCTCTATAAGCATCCTGTGTGACAACAAATGAAAAGTAACAAGCAAGGAATGTACAAGTGAAACGAAAAAGTCCAAACTGCAAACCCCTCTAGATTAATGACTATCATGGAAGGAATCTAGACTGGCTAATGAAACAGGACAAATCAGGCATTTATCATCATCTCTCATCAGGGTCATGAAGACGGTGTGGAGGTGGTGGTAGATTGCCGCAAGACAGCAAGCCCCGGGGGTAAAGGAAGGATAGGAAGAGAAGTCAAGGAAAGAGCAAAGGAAAAACAATGGCACCACCAACTTTTACTGCGCCCAGGAGTGTTGGAAGAAGTTGTCATCCATGGGCGGGGTCGATCCCGCATCGAAGACACCCCCAGTCCAGATGGGAGCCGAGTCCGGCGGCGGGGAGATGCTATTCATCAGGCCCGACGTCATAGGCTTGTACTCGGGCATATGCGACACGGAGTACATATCATGCGCGGGGACAGGTTTTGTCTCCATGCCGATACTGGCCTGTAGCTGATGCTCGAGCGCAGCGGTGGACTCGTTGGTAGACTTCAGGAAGTCATCGATGTTGATCGAATCCAGGTCATTGGATGAGAGGAGTCGCGTCTGGGGAAGACCCACCAATGACGAGGCAGAGCTGGCGCGAAGGTGGTCCATGTCAGATGCCTCACTCACGCTGTGCAAATCATGCATGTCGTTGCCATGATGACCCAATCCTGGAAGCGGTCCAAACTCGTCGGCCTCGGAGATCTCACCGGAGGAAGATGGCGGTGGCAGACCCGAGGGATACCCGTTGTAATCAAAGCTAGCGTAAGAGGGAGCTTGGGTGCTGGTTGAAGCAGGTACGTCGGAGTATAGGGGGAAACTCGACCAATCGACTGAAGGGGCACCAATTCCCGCGGATCCCAGAGGCATATCAGAGTCTGGGGACGTGAAATAGCATTCTTGATAGGGATCTTGGAATGCCATACAGGTGACGGGAGAATTGGTGCTTGTCGTAGGGAAGGAGGAGAAAGAGGAGACGTCAAGAGGGGGGACACTAGTGACGATGTGTTCGAGAGGGTATTTGTCCATGTTGGAAGGGGCAGACGTGGGATTCGCATGCCCCTCCAGGGACCGATCTAACCGATCTAGTGACGAGGGTCGGCGGGTCGGGGCGACGAATTGGTCCATATATGACTGATCAAGGGGAGCGGGCTTTACATCCTCCTCGACGCCCGACGCTGATGCGCTGCTGGGTGAACCATTCTGCGACAGCTGTTTTGGATTCGGGTGTTCGGACAGAGTGAGGGGTTCCTTGATGAAGGCCGACTGGCTGAGCGGCAGGTGATCCACAGACCGACGGGAAACGTCGTGTGGATGGTGGATTGTATGTGACCGTGGGATAGTGTAGGGTAAGCCACACTTGTGGGCCATATCATTATGTTTGTGGGCGGGTTTATGGTGACCGTCGCGGAAAATCGTGAGCGTCGACTCCGATTTGGTAGACGTAAGAGGAGGTTTCCGCGGGGTTTCAGTTGGAAGCGGTGGAGGGAAGGGGAGACCAGTCTCCGGTACAGTATCGAGATGGTGTTCCTTTTTGAGCGCACAGGTGCAGCGCTGGCCATGACAACAGCCACAGCGATTGTGGTTGTCGGTAATGTGGCAGTCATCCTTCTTCTTCTTGTCGCCGCAATCACACTTTGTGTGGGTTGTCCGAGACTTGCGCAGGCCGCGGCAGTGAGTACATTGAGATACTGGACGGCCTTTTTTGTTAATATGAGTCAAGGGGCGGTCTGACAAGGTTTCCATTAGCATTGATGTTGATTGAGTACGTCACGATCGACAAACCACTATGGTGACAGCTGCTGACCCGATGACCCCGGACGCAAGCTTCACAAGCCCACTTTTCACCATCGACGAGCATCGCTGCGGTGTTACTGAAGAGTACACATGCGACGATTCGCGAGGAAGATCTGGGGAATTGAAGTATATAAAACAGATCGGTCGGAGAGAGACCGAGGGGATATCAAGCCGTCAAGGCGATTTGGCCTCAAGAGGTCCGTATAGAAAACAAAAAGGGTATATTGTAGAGTCGAGGGTCCCAATGCGATAGGGAAATTCGCAGAGCACTCAGCAATTGACAATGCCGAGAGCTCTCGAAATCAAAGACGAGCACAAAAAGAAAAAAATCCAAAGGGTATCAGGCGCGAGGTCGGAGGGTCAGGGTTCGGAGAGTAACAGAAAGAGGGGGACCAAGCCTACGCACCGTTTGGCGCCGGCCGTTAGACAGGACACCAAGTACCGGTAGTGGCGGCCAAGAGAAAAGCGTTCTAGGAGAGGAGCCGTTGGGACACCATATGCGGAGGGAAAGAGGAGGAGAGGAAGAGAGGCGGGCATCGGCCGTTAATAACGGGGTACCCGAACGAGGATTTTCGCTGCGCCTGTGGTCTTCCTGACCCTCCGTATTGGTACCTGGGTACGGGTACCTATGCGTATTGTCATATTACCAGTTTTATACGAATATTACCCAGTGATTCTTCCTTGCCGATTCCCCAACTCCATGGAGTTCTTATAGAATATTTCTTTGTCACTGGCTCTACTCAACATAGTCACTTGCAGCCTACTTTCTTCACCACGGAGTTCCCATGACCAAATCTTGGAAATCCTGGCCCCTTGAAGTCCTAGTTTTGGACTCCACCGGTCCCACAGGGACTACTTAGGGTTGTGCTTTCGCACCATCGTAGACCCAAGATATTAGATAATTCATTCGATATCATTATGTGTCAGTTCGGCTTCTTTTCGAAGTTTCTGTTTTAACTTTGGTCTTTGGTGGTTTTTTTTTTTTTTTTTTTTTTTTTTTTTTTTTTTTTTTTTTTTTTTTTTTTTTTTTTTTTTTTTTTTTTTTTT